CGAACACTTGGGAATACCGTTTATCGAATACACATGGTCACCGTGGGTGCCATATCCGCACTCACAACAACGTAAATTCGTTTTTACCAAAATTATAATAATAATAATTTAGTATTTACAGCTTATGAGAAATTTGAAATTCCTCGGATGTCTACTGCAGTTTAATAGGTGCCATTTTTCTAGCGACGCGCTTTTATTGTCCATATAGTCAATTAAGTGTTACTAATTATTATAAAAACTTAAAAATACGATTATCTTAAGAGAAAATGAAAAGGTACACTTGTATTAATACAAAGTGTTTGTTTTATGACGATTTATTATTTTGTTTTTTCATCGATGCGCAAAAAGTAGTCAAGGAAACCAATATAGCAAAAATACCGACTGAAAACGTATAATATCTGTTCTTGGGGTCTACAAAGTCCATTGAAGGTCGACTTTTTAAACTTAAATGGATGTTACCATTCAAATAATTAATTTTTTTAATAAAGACTATTTTGCCGAAAATTTAGAGCGATTTCTAATAAAAATTTAAATTTTTATTCTTTTCACAATAGTTGTGAAAAATAGTAAATTTTTTTATAAACGCAGTCGATGACGTTAGTTGACTGTTAGTAAACTATACTTTTGGCAATAGTCTTCTTTTCTTTTTTTTTGCAACACAGCTGCGATGGCTGACAATGCACACATAAAACATTATACGTCTTCGGGGAAAATATATGCAATGGGCAAATTGTAAAATTTGTTACCTACATTTTTTTTATGTAACTTAAAAAAAGTTGTTACAGTACATCATTTAAAAAAATTCTCTATCCTAGCTATCTTGATAGCAATTTAAAACATTTTTTTTTTCATCTAAACCTGTTTAGGTAGGCATAAACAAAAAACAAAGATACCATTCAAAATGGTTTTTAAGATAAAAAAAAATATACAAAGTTGACTTTGATTTAGCATAGTAAGCATAGTAGCATTTATACAGTCTATGAAATCGTCTCTTGTTGTCACTTCACTAACGTAAACTTTTTCCTTTAAGTGACCCCCCAAAAAAATCAAAGGTCGTCAAGCCGGGGCTCCTCGGTGGCAACACAATATCTTCTCTGATTTCCTGGCTGTCTTGTAATTCTTTATTCAAGAAATATGTGATACAGTAATTCTCCAACGGCATTTCTGTAATGTGGCAGTGCGCCGTTCATCGTAGACCACATTGTGTCCTGTAAGGAATATTGAAAACTTAGTCGAGGGAAACGGACTAAGCAATATACATTTTATTTTCTTAAAAAAAAAGTTAGACTTCAAATTGTTAAACAAATTGAGGAATTTGTTAAGCGGTTTCAAAGACAACCCAATCTTATATTTAAATAAAACTATAAAATAAAAGCTGAGTAATTTATCATAATTTTAATCAATTTCTATTTAATACAAAATAAATAAATTATTTTTTAAATAAAAACTCGACTAAGAAAATAATAAAATTATTTTACTGTTATTCTTGCATAAAATAATAAAAGTTTTAATAATTGTATACATAAAAAAAAATTTGAAAAAAATTATAAACAATAATAGATTGCTTGAAAATAATTTAACATGGTCGAAATTGATTAAAACCATTTTTATTGCCTATAAATGACTCTTTTCAAAACCCTTAACCAGCTGTAAAACGGGGTATACTCAAATTGTATGCATTGTGCATCGTTTAGGGAATAAAAAACCAAGTATCTGAAAACTATCTTAATTATCGTGGCTACAATGAATCTGTCTTGATCGTTTTATGAAAAATTGCTTGACTATACACTAAATGGCGTTATTAATCATTATAAATTATTTAATAAATTTATAAAATTTTTGTAATAATAAAATAATTTGTATTAATTATTTTATTGTTGTTAATAAAAAAAAAAATTATTATTAATAAGCATATGAAATTATTTAAGTCCTTACAGCCTTATAAATATGCGTTAATAATTTATTAAAGTCAGATTGAAATATTTTTTTGTTTTTTAGTGGTAGTACTGTTTGGTGGAGTGGAATCCATTCCATGTCGTGTCGTGACGGGTTTAGTTATACCCCATCCGAATTGTTGGCACCAAAAATACTCGTAACAAGCCTTTTAGATTTTTGAAAGTCATGTACAATTTGGGCAAATTGCACATGGTGGAATTGTAAACGGATTAGTAGGTGAGGACAACATCAAAGTCACTCATTATTTGAGTAAAATAACCAAAAAATGTATTTGTCTAATTGACTGATTATAATCTATAAGCTCTAAAGTACAATGTGGCTTTAACATCAATGAACGCGATTGTAATCGAAGGATTATCGAGATGGGTTTCAAAAAAAAAAATATATAATGTAAAAAATATACAACTTTATTAAAATATGGTAAAAATAACATAAAACAAGTTAAATATTTAATGAATGAAACAAATTACAATCTGAGTCTTTTACATCAGTATCTCGATTTGAATCACTTATTTCTAGTTGATTATACCCATAAAGACAATTAATAAGAAAAAAACAGTAAATTAATTATATTGTATGAGGCATACCACAATACTTACACGATATTTTGTATAAAAGTTAACTTACCATAAATCACTAGCTCGGTGAATTCAATGAGAATGATGAAGTAAAATATTATTTTAATATCCAAAGATAAATGTCGATGTCGGTTGTACTACAATCTTATTAAAATTTATGATAAGATAACCGTTCTAAAAATTCTGGTACAAGCACCACGCAATTTGAATAATCGTCGCTTGTCCCCCAAAAAATTGTGCTAATGTCGTTTGTTCCCCATTATTGTCGTTTAGACTCTAATTTTGAGCAAACAAAAAATAAAGTGTCATTTATATCCCAAAGTTAAAATGAGAAATGTTTGTTAAAAAATGACCACAGCTGTTTTTGCGCGTGCGCAATGGACGAAATACATAATTTTCTAATCAATAGTATAAGCCTTGTCGCTTAGACTCTTTTGCCGTGTCACCATCGAACATAATAAAATGCCTAATTAATTAATTAATTATATTATATTATATTATTATATTAATTAATTAATGTATAATTTAGTAATCTAATCTAAATGTATATCCCTACCACAGATAAGTCAAATAAAGAAATACAAATAATTTATGCAGACATTAAAAACCTTATAGTAACAACAGATACATGACATTCTTATGTGAGGATAACATTGTTGTAATACTATACATAAATATAGTATAGAGTGCGAGTAGTGATGATAATCAAGTATTCAACACAAATAAAGTTATTACAATAATAGATATATTATACATAGAATATATACAACACAGTGAAACAATAATACACTAGTAATATGTATAAACGGAATAGAAATACTGAGCCCCGAGCCCTTAGATCAAATGCTATTTATATTAACCCACAAGGTTGCACGCGTCTACAGATACACGTGTGCTTACAAAAACAACTTTGTTTTTCTATAGCATTTCCTGGTTAACAACTACGTATTTTTATTATACAGATAAACAACATATTTATATATTGTGAAATACTTCCTGATATATAGAATATTAATTATTATTCCAACAAACATAAATTAATGCTTTGATTTTTTGTGTATAGTTTTAATAGAAATTCATTGACTCTTTGATTTATGTTAATTTTTTGGTCATATTGAATGGCGAAAAGGATATTCGGTTGCATCTTGGTTTTCGAGAAAGTGGGTATCGTTCAGATACTAACTTTTGATTATTATTAAATTGTTCAGCGAATTTTAGGAGAAACGTGCATACATTCGTTGAGTATCCCCGGAGTTGCCGTGTAGTGTCATGTCACAATCGCTAAGTTATTGTTTATATTAGTATGTTAATGTTAGTCATTGTGTTTTTTTGTTTCGTTCAACTACAGGTGGCACCGGTACCCAATCGTTACAACACTGGGGCCAAATGTTTTCTCCCCAACTTGTATCCTCTAATTACCTACAGGACTCAGGGTGATCACCTGGGTAAAACCTATTTAAGCACGGTGTTGATCAATCAGGTATGTGTTGTTTTGTATTTGTGTTATGTAACCAAACGAGCATTTTTTTAGGGCTAATTGCCCAATATTTTAGTACAATATTTATATACATTGTTAGTTGTAATCAAATTTTGAACTTGACACGAAATGCTATTGAAAATAATTTTTATATTTAATTGAGAAATTTGAGTTTTTTTATATTTTGCAAAGAAATTTATTTCGGCCTTAAAAATTATCCTTCATGGTTTTAACCATTTAATTGTGAAATATATATTTAAAAATTCCTAAAATCCAGCACGGCTCAGAAATTACAAAACGTAAATAAATGTAATTCCTAAATTAAATGTTCTCGGCAATCGTTACGCTTCTGGTATATTTACACAACACGCAAACGATTGACAGATAATCATTATACTTGTGATTTTGTAATGAATTCTCATAGGTGCTTAGAGTGATTTGTCATTCTCCAAAAAGCCCTAATTTTTATAAGAATACCTAAAAATCTATTGGGTAAACAGACAATTTTTTTTTGGAACAACAGAAGTTTTTAACGAAATTTCACCAAAAAAATTATAATAACAAAAATTTCATTTTTTCACCTAACGAACACGTTTTTAAAATATTCTCTTAAAAAAAACTAGAGAAAATGTATAACAAAAATCTAGATTATTTATTGGCTTCATAGGTACCTTCGCTAAAAATTTGCTACTCTAAGAACTTACTTTTTTTTTCGAAAAATTTCTCTTGAAGAAAAAAAAACCCAGTTCACCTATTTTGGCCTCCGTTTCGAAAAAATGTATAACAAAATTCTAGAATATTTATTGATTTGATGGGTCCTTCACTAAAAATTTGCTACTCCACGGTTAAATTCAACGAGGCGTCGCACAAAAAACGTACAACACTTGTGTACACAACTATTCGCTTATAACCTTGGTCACGTATGCAAAAAAAAATAGTGCGCTATTTAAATAAAGTAAAATATTTCAGACGGTTTTCAATACCTATGGACGGGATATTATTTTTCTAAGTGTTTTCTATAGTATACATAAGTCGGAATAACACGTATAACAAGATGACGTTTATTTTATTTATTGCTTTCGTCGTTTTACGGTCAACTCCAGGTACGTAATATATTTCATACTCGTATACATAAATTGTCTACTAATAATCTAAGCTTATAATCCTAAGCGATAAGATTTAGACACAATTATGGAAATAACGGTTATCTATGGTGTTATGCTAGCTGCTAACTAAGAGATGACCCATCGATTTTTTCATTTTCCTTTCGTATACCTTCTTAGTGATTAGTTACAATGTCTAAGATAAACTCTAGAAAGCTTTGGTAGAGGCTGATTTGATATTTTTCAAGTTTATCGGAAGGTTAGTTCAGGCATTGTTCTTAATATTTTTTTGTTTTGAGTGCTATTATATTTCTATCTCGCCATAAAAATATTGTTATTGATTAATTTAATAAACTAAAATACACAAAGAAAAGTGTACAATCAGATAACTGAATGCTACTTAAAATCGTAATTAAATTGTAAAAATTTGTTTACAAAAATCAGTTTTATTTTTTAGCATTTTCTGATCCTTCCGATATTCCATCATCTTCGTCCAATCCGCCCGGTTACGAGCAAATCGATCACTCTAACTTATTGGCCAACGACAATAACAACCTGTATCTAGATGAAAGGTATGTAATATAATTCTACTTTTTATAATAAACAAGCTGTCCGGATCCGGCGTTGCCCGGCGTTTAGTTTGCGAGGGCTGAGTAAAATAATTACAAATAAGATATAAAACTCAGTACTGTAGGTTGTATATTGTAGAGCTTTAGCATATCCCGTCTCGTTTTTTTTTTTTGAACTAGATATGTACATTACATTATATTGATTATGTCCGTCTCTTACTCAAGGGTCCCGATCCTAGTCCCAGATCTAGTTCCAATGTTTAATAGTGTCCCCAGAATCGGCATGCTCCTTTATTCATCATCTACCATTCGCTGGATTACCGTGGTTACAATGATTATAAACCAATTGTTTATTTTGGGTAAGCAACGAAACATATTTCGTATTTAAAGTACAAAGTAAGTGTTTGAGGCCATCCTTAGAGGTGAAATTTTTGAAAAGTTCTTAGCCAGTTACCTCACTGGAGTATACTCAACAACTTCCAAAAGTTTTATTGCGATCGGATGAATGGTGTACTAATACATAAAGAACAGACATACATTTATTTTTATCTATATAGATTAACAACATAACTTGTGTACGCCGAGAGTACATATATATTGTATATTATAGTATATATATATTGTACATATTATACATATATGATAACGCTGTAACAGTGTCTCCTACTATAATATGCCCTGATAAAATTAAATATGTTAATGGAAAAACTAGATTGAAATAAAAATACAGATATTTAAATCACATAAATGATCAACAATAACCAAAAATATGCTTTAGGCTTTTATATTTTCCTACCATGACTATTTAGTATTTACTGTCGCATGCTAGCTTCATAAGAACTAAGGGAGAAATTAAATTATCAATTTCCTTCCTGCAATTATGATCAGATTTATTTTAAATAATATTTTATCATAAACTAGATGATGTAACAGGAATTTAAGTTCTAAGACTTATTGACATTAGTAACTACGTAAGCGAACATAATTTGTCTTTAGGTGTACCTATTTCGATAGTGCAAAAGTACAATGTTAAATTAAATCATTGTGACCATAGTCTCTGTAGAATAATAAGAAAAATTCCTTTGAAAACAACATCATTAATTACCTGAGTTTCTTCTTTATTCGACCAATATGGCTTTTGACAGTTTTCAAGAGGTTTTTCATTGGTAGTCCATCCTATTAAATTTATATTAACTCTCCGTTAGTGTATTGGGGTTTATTAAACCCCTGTGGTGCAAGTAAGTTTATAAACAACCCTGTGACATAAGATTTTAAAAAAATTTCGGCAACCACACAAACGAAGTTTACTAACGTTGAGTTTATTAGAAGTTTCTTTTTTACATTTTTTTAACTGTTTTTTATCTATAGCTAGATTCTCTTTAAATTATTAAAAATGTAAATTAAACTCTAGGTAGAAAGAGAAAGAGGAAGTATGAATAGGATAATGTGACCTTTGATGGCTTTATACAAATTTCTTAGATCCAGAGACTAAACAAGTTCTTAATTTATAACACTTCTTAATTACAAGGACAATTGAATTAACATATATCATTGGTGTCATAACTTTTTTTATTACTTTAAATTTACACATATTGTTTAGTTCTTCACTAAGTTGATAATATATAGAGAAATGTATTTTCTTTCGAGCTTCAATTATGTGTTGAACATTGGATTAATGTTAATTGTTTATAAATAAAACTTTAAAACACTTGGGCACAAGGGTCCAGCTAAGACCGCATAAGAATACCATTAATAGATCAATCAACAAACCGGGTCCGAACATTCTTATCACTATTAATAATAGTACCAACAAAATATCTATCTGAGGAGAACATATTTATTTCATTAACTATGACAGATCATGCAGATTTTGACTAACATAATTTAGCAAAATGGTTAATTTTTTTTATAATTATTACATTTTATCCCTAAAGCAGGATATTTGGCTTCATGCCTTTGTCCATAACGTGTTCGATTATTATTGTAGACATTATTTCACTTGGATTAATCTCCTCTGTACGTTGTTTATATAACTCCATTGAAGAACAATTCGTTTTCTAGTTTTAATTCATCTTCTCTTAATATTAATTTTTTAATATGTAGCCACTTAATATGAAGACTAAATATTAAGACATCTTTAAATAGACTCTGCCGTAGCTTTTCAAAGTCGCATGACTTGCTCTTATTTTAACTATTACCTCTTCCAACTGAATCTTTTATAAGGCTTTCTTGAAGCAGTTCAAAGTCACATGACTTATTTGAACTATTACTCACTATTGACTCGCTGGGTACTATTTATTACCATTAACACCAACATCATAAATCATACTTAAACAGCTATCGCTGAAACACTATCTTATCTAAGAATAACAAAGTCATATACTTTTTAATAATATATTTTGTTATTTATTTTAGTTCTTCGGATGTTGTTTTAGTTGTAGATAATGAAGAATTCCACGCCCATCGTGAAGTGTTAGCCTCAAGCAGTGAATATTTTAAGTATTAAATTTTTTATCATTTAGCTCATTATTCCCTTAGTAATAATGATACTTCAATAAGCATAACATATTTTTATAGATTTGTCATAAATCGTTGTTCAACCTTTTTTATTTATTAATTTTTTTTTAAAAATATTTTCGCTATTTTATGTACGGTTTCGATAAATTTCCGAATGAACCAGACTAAATAATTTTGAAAACAACACAGCGACACTCGGTGCCTTAAGAGTTGTATTATTTTGTAAATAAAAAATAATGTATACTTGTCACTTTACATTAATTATGTTAACCGTTTATTGGTAACCTACTCAAACTAAACGAGAGTAAATTTTAAATGACTTTTGGAATAAAAACACACTTTTGGTACCCCATAAGTTAGACTGCAATACACTGTGCCTAACTGGTTGTAACACATATGATGCATTGATTGTATTAATATTGTGTATTATTTTTAGGAGTTTACTGTATGGTGAACATAAAGAGGCCCGTGAAAAGAGAGTACTACTAGAGGAAGTCACAGCAACTTCATTTAAAGTACTTCTTAAGTATATTTATTCAGGTCGAATGAATTTAAGTAATTTAGAGGTAATTTATATTTGGCATAGATTACCGGTATTTAAACTACATAGAAAGTAACTTTTTTAATGTTGTGCGTTTTTTTTTTATTATTCTTTACGAATTTTTTTGGATAATAAAAAAAAATACTTTAGAGAATGATTATTTAAATAGAAATTTTATTATTTTTTTCTTTTTAGGGAAAAGTTATTTTAGAATTAGTAAGTCTCTCGAATTTTTATGGTTTTTTTAACTTAAAATCTTCACTGTCCGAGTATTTGCTGAACAACATTAGTGTAGATAATGCAAGTTCGTTGTTTGCTGTTGCACATTATTATGAACTCAAAGAACTCGAAGTTATATCTCTCAACTTTATTGACATGCACGCTTTAGATGTATTGCAATCTGAAGATTCTGTCGCTTTGTCGTCCGTAATGAAATTTTCAAAATAATAAATCAACATTGCTCGTATTAGGTAACCGGTTGTGACAGCGATTTGTATTTTTAGGACATGTTACAACAAATTCTAAATCGTGACACGGTGTATACAAACGAAATAGATATGTTCCGTGCGGTTTGTCGCTGGATCAAAAAGAACCCAGAGCGCCTAGATGCAGATGCTATAACCAATATTTTATCTGCCGTCAGATATCAGCGTATGAATGATGAAGAACTATCGGAAGTGAAACGATCAGACCTGGTTATTTCGGATACAATTATTTTGGATATCATAAAATGGAGAATAGAGTCCCTTACAGGTGCACTTAATTATCTAGGACATTTAGGTATGCCTTATTAAATTATTTGTTAAGCAAATCATGTTAGTATCAACTCCTTTCTTCTTTAGAACCCATTATGAATTTCGCTGAAGGTACTGAGCGTTTTGAAAGTCATGGCGGAACCATGATCAAGTTGAATCGTCCATTTTTTATGAACTATATTGAAATGAAGGTAGAAGATGACTATTTAAGGTTTGTTTTTACTTATAAATATTTCTAACGAAAGATTGAATATTATTTTATATTAATTATAATATGGACCAAAATTTATTTTTATCATGAATAATATCATGTATTAATAATTGCTTTTATTAGTCAACCACTTTCAAGAGCTTGCTGTTCATGCTGTTATCCTTTCGTTAAGTATGCCTTTTAATCATTTTTTTTTTATAAATAATTCCTTTTTTTGACATCGTGATATTTAAAAAATTACAAAACCATTAATTTGTTTGATTCCTAAGGCCTTACTCGTATTACATTGAAGTGTCAATTGATCGACTCAAATGGTTGCGTGTAATTGATCATTCAAATTCTCATTGTCATTCAATTCAACGTTTGTGGATTCCACGACAATTTGTTCAGTACATCCGAATTGTTGGTACCAAAAATACTGATAATAAGCCTTTTAGATTTTTAAAAGTCATGTACAATACGGACAAAATGCATTTAGTGGAAATTAAAAACGGATTGGTGGGTAAGGATACTACGAAAGTAGCTCATTCGTTGCATAACATAAAAATTACTTGTATTATTGACTGATTTTAATCTATTAGCTCCACAGTTCAATGTTGCTTTAACATCTATGAATGCGACTGTAATCGAAGGAAGCCCGAAATTTTCAAGCACCCTTGTATCAGGTGACTATGAAGACTACGATAGTTATTCATATCATTTTTTAGGATCGGGGTGTATAAAAATTCAACTCGCCCAACCGTATGTGCTTAGTTCAATGAGGTAATCGTTTACATGACATTTAACTTTTACTTTGGTTTCTATGATTTATTTGATATTTTATTTGTGCTTGAAATATATCTTTTTAATATTTAATAAATATTGTCATTATTTATAGGATGCTGCTCTGGGACTGCGATAGGCGAACCTACGGTTACACTGTTGAAGTTTCAGTCGATAATTTGGTTTGGGATATGGTTGTAGATAAATCTAATGGGTCGGCACGATCGTGGCAATTGTTTAAATTTGATCCCAGGCCCATAGTATACATTCGTATTACTGGCATCCGCTCTTCAAAAAAAGACGGAGTAAAATAATCAATCTCACAGCGTTATATTAAATTGTTAAAAATGGTTTTTTTCTTTTAGATTTTTAGATGTGTACATTTGGAGGCACCCGCTCAAATATCGCTGGATTCTAATATTGCGCAAAAACAGCAGCGGTCGATATTCTGGCTTTTCCGTCGTAAATAGCGCCACTATTCTCCAGAAGGCTGACTTATATATGGAACTAATAGAGGTTTTTACATTTTATTATGTGTTACTGACTACTGTAATTTTTTTTGCTTATGTAATATATATATCCGGCTAATTGTCACAATTATACAATCATTAGAAATCAGATTGATTATATTTCTTAACGCTTAAATTTTGTTTGACCACAACCCTGTGGTATCTCGTGTTAAAATTCAACTAAAAATGTAGAATGTTAGAAAACTTGGAATCTATCAAAGTTGAAAAATGGTGGAGTAGAACAGGAATTGGAGGACAACAAACTACTAGAGGTACTACTAGAGGAACATCTGACATTGAAATATGAAAGCCTAAATACCAATAGTGTTAACATAAAATAGAAAAACATTCAATCAATCCTATTGAAAGACTGTAAAGAAAGCTAACGCTGTTCAAGCCGTGAACAAGGTCAATTTTGAATTGCCGCCGTTTTTGTTTATGTTTTATTGCGGTTCTTGACCTCAAGGGGCAACACTGTTGGACCAGTTTGCCGAATAATAAGGAAAAATTGCATAACGAATGTGTACACGTTTTTCCAAAATTCACCGAACAATTTAATAATAATCAAAATTTAGTATTTGGACTCATACCCTCCTTTCTCAAAAACCAGGATACAACTGAATATCCTTTTAATATGACCAAAAAGTTGACATAAATTAACCTGTCAACGAATTTTTACTAAAACTAAACCTATCAAATCAAAGCATTCATCTATATTATTCTCACATAAGAACAGAACAACCTCTCGGACGCCGACAAACCAGACTGACCACTCAAAAACAGTGTGTGTGCGTGTTAGTGTGTGTCTGTGACCAGAAATGTTATGTCTTCCAAATAATTTAGCAGTAATTAATCAGACCTTGTTGACTAGGGTTTCAAATTTCGGAACCATTCTCAAGAATAGAATGAACCAGCGAGATGTAAATTATAAAAATATAAACAACAGTTAATTAAACAAAAATATAATTATATAAACAAGAAATATTGTTGAACTCCCAACAGTTTTGTTTAATAAATATTTAAATAGAAAAAAAAAAAAAAATTATTACGAGGGTCTGTTCGGTCTTTTGTTGTTAACATGAATTCAGTTTACTTAACATTTATCTCAAGTCTATATTTATATATTTTGCATGCAACATTGAGTCTGTCCAAATTTTTATCTATTTGCAAAATGTCCAGCAAAAATGTTTTAATTTTTCAAGACATACATTTTTTATACCTGATAATGCCCAGAATGATGTTTCATTTACACAAAAAGTAAATAAATATAATTTTCAAATTAAATGGTCTCGGCAAATATTAAGACTGGCGAAGAAGAAGAAAACACATAAATACAGATAATCGTTATACATTTAACTCTGTGATGTGTTCTCAGGGGTGATTTATCTTCCCCTAAAACCCCTGGGTTTTATTAATATTCCTGAACATCTATTTCTTAAATAGAAACTTGTTTTTTGTAATAACAGAAGTAAATGACAAAATTTCACCCAAAAAAATATATATATAAATTTCATTATAATAATCAGTAAAGTATTATATTATGTTTATAATAAATATGGAACAACATAATTTCATTTTTTCTAGTAGCAAATACGTTAAAAACGTTAACAGTTTTCACTTAAGAACTTACTTTTTTTTTCGAAAAATTTCTCTTGAAGAAAAAAAAACCCAGTTCACCTATTTTGGCCTCCGTTTCGAAAAAATGTATAACAAAATTCTAGAATATTTATTGATTTGATGGGTCCTTCGCTAAAAATTTGCTACTCCACGGTTAAATTCAACGAGGCGTCGCACAAAAAACGTACAACACTTGTGTACACAACTATTCGCTTATAACCTTGGTCAAGTATGCAAAAAAAATAGTGCGCTATTTAAATAAAGTAAAATATTTCAGACGGTTTTCAATACCTACGGACGGGATATCATTTTTCTAAGTGTTTTCTATAGTATACATAAGTCGGAATAACACGTATAACAAGATGACGTTTATTTTATTTATTGCTTTCATCGTTTTACGGTCAACTCCAGGTACGTAATATATTTCATACTCGTATACATAAATTGTCTTCTAATAATCTAAGCTTATAATCCTAAGCGATAAGATTTGGACACAATTACGGAAATAACGGTTATCTATGGTGTTATGCTAGCTGCTAACTAAGAGATGACCCGACGATTTTTTCATTTTCCTTTCGTATACCTTCTTAGTGATTAGTTACAATGTCTAAGATAAACTCTAGAAAGCCTTGGTAGAGGTTAATTTGATATTTTTCAAATTTATCGGAAGGTTAGTTCAGGCATTAGTTCTTTATAATTTTTTGTTTTGAGTGCTATTATATTTCTATCTCGCCATAAAAATATTATTATTGATTAATTTAAAAACTAAAATACAAAAAGAAAAGTGTACAGTCAGATAACTGAACGCTACTTAAAATCGTAATAAAATTATAAAAATTTGTTTACAAAAATCAGTTTTATTTTTTAGCATTTTCTGATCCTTCCGATATTCCATCATCTTCGTCCAATCCGCCCGGTTACGAGCAAATCGATCACTCTAACTTATTGGCCAACGACAATAACAACCTGTATCTAGATGAAAGGTATGTAATATAATTCTACTTTTTATAATAAACAAGCTGTCCGGATCCGGCGTTGCCCGGCGTTTAGTTTGCGAGGGCTGAGTAAAATAATTACAAATAAGATATAAAACTCAGTACTGTAGGTTGTATATTGTAGAGCTTTAGCATATCCCGTCTCGTTTCTTTTTTTTTTGGAACTTGATATGTACATTACATTATATTGATTATGTCCGTCTCTTACTCAAGGGTCCCGGTCCCAGTCCCAGATCTAGTTCCAATGTTTAATAGTGTCCCCAGAATCGGTCTGTTCCTTTATTCATCATCTACCACTCGCTGGATTACCGTGGTTACAATGATTATAAACCAATTGTTTATTTTGGGTAAGCAACGAAAAATATTTCGTATTTAAAGTACAAAGTAAGTGTTTGAGGCCATCCTTAGAGGTGAAATTTTTGAAAAGTTCTTAGCCAGTTACCTCACTGGAGTATACAAGGCCGGTGCTAAGAAATATGCAAGGGGGGGGGGCTGTCAAAATGAAGATGCCGACTTTAAAATTTTAATTACCGACTAAAATATTTGGGTACTTTCATAAATATTTTATGACATTTTACATCACAAGTCACAATTTTTTGCTAAAATTAATGGGAATTAATAATTGTTGAAAATTATTATTTTTTTAACTTTAAATTATTATTTTTTTAAGTATTAATTAATACAAACAAATTTAGATAGTACAAGTAAAAAAACCATCAAAAGTTAAACTTTAATACGGTGTTTTTTTTAATGCGGACTATTTCTTTGTTATTTCTTCCATCAATTACATCGAGAATATCTCTGGTGGAGTTTAAAATCATGAGGGTCATTTTTTATTATTTTTAAAAGAATTAGAAGAAAAATGATAATGATGTGATATTTTTATAAATTGTGACTAGTTTTTTTTTAAATGTTTTTCAAAGCATAGAAATATTTGAGGCAGCTAACAAATTTATCTATTTCTAAATTTTTCAGATCTCGGTCACCAATACTAAAATAGTTTGAGCCCTACTTTAAAAGCATTATTTTAAAAATGTTTGAATTTATTTAACATAATTATAACGTATTGCAGTTGAAACTGCAATTTAACCGAGACAACGACGGCCACTGTTTTTTTAGACAACCTAAGAAATAGGAGGAAATGTAATATCTTTACAAAGTCGATCGGATCGATGAAAATAAAAATATATACTTATAGAGGGATAGAATGTTTACAATAGACCAATAGGTCCCATGACCGAACATAGTTTGATATAATATACACCACAGTTACTATAAACAAATAATAATACTTCTGCTAAAATCGGGAATAACCGAAAATGCATTGTTTTTTTTATACTTAAAACTAAAATTATATTTTCGTATGGTCGTCCGTATGCCGACTATTTACTATTCAGTCGCCAGATTCCAATGAAAATTATGTACCTACCTACTTTTATAAAATTAAAATAAGAAATATGTTATTTGTATAATTTTATGGGATATTTACCGACTTTTTATTCCGAATGTGCCGACTGTGTATACTTGAGTTTTCCGAGTGGGGGGTGTCAACCCTAAGTCCAGCCATGAGTATACTCGACAACTTCCAAAAGTTTTATTGCGATCGGATGAATGGTGTACTAATGCCTAAAGAACTGACATACATTCATACATTATCTATATAGATTAACAACACAACTTGTGTACGCCGAGAGTACATATATATCGTACATTATAGTGTATATATTGTACATATATACATAAGTTAACGCTGTAACAGTGTCACCTACTATAATATGCCCTGATAAAATAAAATATGTTAATGGAAGAACCTGTTTGAAATAAAAATACAGATGTGTAAATCACATAAATGATCAATAATTAACAAAACGCCAGTACAGGGGGGTTGGGGCACAGTGGGGACGGAGAGGTCACAGTTCTACAGATTTTATTATAACTGAAAGTGATGAATCACTTTAAAACAAACGCTTCGATGCGAAACTGTGGATAGCATGTTCAAACCAGTTATAGCGGTTTAGAAGATATCGTGGGACCAGCAAAAATGTACTTAAAATTTAATATTTAGTCTTGTGCAAGGGTGGATACGGTAAGGGTTGATCGTCTGTCTATAAAAATGTACTGTCATAGTTACCCATATATCGTAATTAACAATATAATTCTCTCCCTTCTAAGGGAAAAATAATTTATGATATTTTTTTGGTTTGTTAATGTTTATCGATAGTACTATGTTTGAAAAACAATTCATGTAAATTTGGAACATTTTCGACTATGTTTAAAAAAGTTATAGAGCATCGTAATTTTAAGTTGAAAAATTTGTACATTTTTTAGGTGTTTTTCTTGTTTTATTACATGTATCTCTAAAGCAAGATATTTGGCTTCATGTTTTTGTCCATAACGTGTTCGGTTATTATTGTAGACATTATTTCACTTGGATTGATCTCCTCTGTACGTTGTTTACATAAATTCATTAAAGAACAATGCCTTTTCTAGTTTTAATTCATCTTCTCCTAATAATCATTTTTTAATATGTAGCCACTTATCATGAAGACCAAATATTAATACATCTTTTATAAGGCTTTTTTAAAACTTTTCAAAGTCATGTGACTTTCTCTTATTTGAACTATTACTCACTATTGACTCGCTGGGTACTATTTATTACCATTAACACCAACATCATAAATTATACTTAAACAGCTATCGCTGAAACACTACCTTATCTAAGAATAACAAAGTCATATACTTTTTAATAATATATTTTGTTATTTATTTTAGTTCTTCGGATGTTGTTTTAGTTGTAGATAATGAAGAATTCCACGCCCATCGTGAAGTGTTAGCCTCAAGCAGTGAATATTTTAAGTATTAAATTTTTTATCATTTAGCTCATTACTCCCTTAGTAATAATGATACTTCAAAAAGCATAACATATTTTTATAGATTTTGTCAAAAATCGTTCTTCAAGCTTTTTTTTTTTTTATTAAATTTGTTTTAAAAATATTTTTGCTATTTTATGTACGGCTTCGACAAATTCCCGAATGAACCAGACTAAATAATTATGAAAAAACATAGCAACACTCGGTGCCTTAAGATTTGTATTATTTTGTAAAAAAAAAAAAATGTATAATTGTCACTTTACATTAATTATGTTAACCGTTTATTGGTAACCTACTCAAACTAAACGAGAGTAAATTTTAAATGACTTTTGGAATAAAAACACACTTTTGGTACCCCATAAGTTAGACTGCAATACACTGTGCCTAACTGGTTGTAACACATATGATGTATTGATTGTATTAATATTGTGTATTATTTTTAGGAGTTTACTGTATGGTGAACATAAAGAGGCCCGTGAAAAAAAGGTGCCATTAGAGGAAGGAACAGCCTCTTCATTTAAAGTACTTCTTAAGTATATTTATTCAGGTCGAATGAATTTAAGTAATTTAGAGGTAATTTATATTTGGCATAGATTACCGGTATTTAAACTACATAGAAAGTAACTTTCTTAATGTTGTGCGTTTTTTTTTATTATTCTTTACGTATTTTTTTGGATAATAAAAAAAAATACTTTAGAGAATGATTATTTAAATAGAAATTTTATTAATTTTTTCTTTTTAGGGAAAAGTTATTTTAGAATTAGTAAGTCTCTCGAATTATTATGGTCTTTTAAACTTAAAATCTTCACTGTCCGAGTATTTGCTGAATAACATTGGTGTAGATAATGCAAGTTCGTTATCTGCTGTTGCACATTGTTATGAACTCAAAGAACTCGAAGTCATATCTCTCAACTTTATCGACATGCACGCTTTAGGTGTATTGCAATCTGAAGATTCTGTCGCTTTGTCTTCCGTAATGACATTTTCAAAATAATAAATCTACATTGCTCGTGTTAGGTAACCGGTTGTGACAGCGATTTGTATTTTTAGGACATGTTACAACAAATTCTAAATCGTGACACGGTGTATACAAACGAAATAGATATGTTCCGTGCGGTTTGTCGCTGGATCAAAAAGAACCCAGAGCGCCTAGATGCAGATGCTATAACCAATATTTTATCTGCCATCAGATATCAGCGTATGAATGATGAAGAACTATCGGAAGTGAAACGATCAGACCTGGTTATTTCGGATACAATTATTTTGGGTGTCATAAAATCGAGAATAGAGTCTCTCAGAGATGAACTTAATTATCGAGGACATTTAGGTATGCCTTATAAAATTATTTGTCAAGCAAATCATGTTAGTATCAACTCCTTTCTTCTTTAGAACCCATTATGAATTTCGCTGAAGGGATTAATAGTTTTAGAAGTGATGGCGGTACCATGATCAAGTTGAATCATCCATCGTATATAAACTATATTGAAATGAAGGTGTGCGATGACTATTTAAGGTTTGTTTTTACTTATAAATGTTTCTAATGAAAGATTGTATTTTATTTTATTTTAATTATAATATGGACCAAAATTTATTTTTATCATGAATAATATCATGTATTAATAATTGCTTTTATTAGTCAACCACTTTCAAGAGCTTGCTGTTCATGCTGTTATCCTTTCGTTAAGTATGCCTTTTAATCATTTTTTTTTTTATAAATAATTCCTTTTTTTGACATCGTGATATTTAAAAAAATTACAAAACCATTAATTTGTTTGATTCCTAAGGCCTTACTCGTATTACATTGAAGTGTCAATTGATCGACTCAAATGGTTGCGTGTAATTGATCATTCAAATTCTCATTGTCATTCAATTCAACGTTTGTGGATTCCACGACAATTTGTTCAGTACATCCGAATTGTCGGTACCAAAAATACTGGTAATAAGCTTTTTAGATTTTTAAAAGTCATATACAATACGGACAAAATGCATTTAGTGGAAATTAAAAACGGATTGGTGGGTAAGGATACTACGAAAGTAGCTCATTCCTTGCATAACATAAAAATTACTTGTATTATTGACTGATTTTATTCTATTAGCTCCACAGTTCAATGTTGCTTTAACATCTATGAATGCGACTGTAATCGAAGGAAGCCCGAAATTGTCAAGCACCCTTGTATCAGGCGACTATGAAGACTATGATAGTTATTCATATCATTTTTTAGGATCAGGGTGTATAAAAGTTCAACTCGCCCAACCGTATGTGCTTAGTTCAATGAGGTAATCGTTTACATGATATTTAACTTTTACTTTGGTTTCTATGATTTATTTGATATTTTATTTGTGCTTGAAATATATCTTTTTAGTATTTAATAAATATTGTCATTATTTATAGGATGCTGCTCTGGGACTGCGATAGGCGAACCTACGGTTACACTGTTGAAGTTTCAGTCGATAATTTGGTTTGGGATATGGTTGTAGATAAATCTAATGGGTCGGCACAATCGTGGCAATTGTTTAAATTTGATCCCAGGCCCATAGTATACATTCGTATTACTGGCATCCGCTCTTCAAAAAAAGACGGAGTAAATCAATCAATCTCACAGCGTTATATTAAATTGTTAAAAATCGTTTTTTTCTTTTAGATTTTTAGATGTGTACATTTGGAGGCACCCGCTCAAATATCGCTGGATTCCAATATTGCGCAAAAAGAGCAGTGGTCGATATTTCGGTTTTGCCGTCGTAAATTAGCACCACTGTTCTCCAGAAGGCCGACTTCTATGTAGAACTAATAGAGGTTTTTACATATTGTTATATGTTACTGTATTTTTGTTTTTTTATTTAATAAATTTATATATAATATTCAGTTTAATGTTCACACATGACTCTACATTTATATATTATTTTTAAAACCTAACAATGATTGTACTCTTATGTATGTTTGTTAATATACATAGTATTTATCCCAACCACATACAATTTTTTTGATTGGCTGATGAAATTCTTAATAATTACGGATTACCACCTTCCTTTAGTGAATATTTTTAACAAGAAAGCATTTTACGAGTTCTGTTGGTAAATTTTTAGATCAATTTTCGACTAGATATTATACACTGCTCTAACGTCTGAGCTGAATGTCATATATGGGGACATAGTTAGCTCCAATAGTTGCACGAAAAACGGGTTTCACAGAAAACAATTTAATTTATTTTATTTTTAAATGCCAGGTCTCAATATAAAGTCACCAATGCATGGATAATTCGTATAAAATTGCTACTTCCATTATAAAATTATAATAAAATAAAATAATAATTTTTTTAATCATCTCTTATATACCATGCTATTAATTAACAAATAATTAAGGGTTTTTATTAGGTAATTATATGTATAGATCATTAAAAACCATATTCTTTCTTTCCTTTTTTTTATTTGTTTAGTACACGTTAATCCTAACTTAATTTTCCTAATTAAAATACATTAATAAGTATATATTTAGATAAATATGTAATTATAAGTATATCAGTAATAATTGACATAACTTTAGCTCAATATAAATTGAGCTTAGAAGGTCCATTTACAATTTGTATTGTTGTTTTTATATTAAAGAAGACAGAAATTAACACTAAACAATGTTTTTTTATGATACGAACCTGATTTTAAATAATTATCAACCTACGAAATGTGATTATTTAAAAAATCTGCTTTTACCATGTGAAGGTTAATTCAGTAAAACAATACATGCATAAGATGTTATTTAATAATAATAGGGCAGAATAGGGCAATTTTATAATAATATTTACACAATACGAAAACTCTTGTAACGGTCACATTTCGCTTGACCGTTACTTCGCGTCCCAAACCAACTGACACAGCACCCCCGACTATAGGTAGGGGAACGGTCGCACACACAGGACAATGCACGTCACGTATCATCTAATTAACCAGTTGACTTTACCATCACGGACCGCCAATATCCTCGACCTTGCGCTCTATATTTTTGCCGTTTTACTACAAGCCGCCCATCCGACTATCTTTTGGGTGCGTCCGTTTCAACTCCGCTTTGACCAACCATTTCATCGTCCAACCCAGGTCAGAGTGTATATATATATATATATTGTATAATTTTGTATTTTATTTAGAAACCCTAATTTAGAATAAAACATCTTGTAGCCTGCAGCTGAGAGTTAGATTATTTAACAGTGTGACCGCCCGTTCTAGCTCCTCGGGCGATATATTAAGTTAATAAGGGAGACTTTAAGGCCAATTAGACGTAGACAACGGCCTAGCCAACCGTTTTCCCGTGGGGATCCGTCTATTTTAGCTTTATCGACGGCCACTTTGCCTAGTCTAGCCAGCTAGACAAGTAGGTCCGTTACAACTTGGTGGAGGCGCCGATTGCCGTTAGTTTTATTTTTTACCTTGGGGGAGAACCCATTTTGCAAGTGAATAAACTACGGCCACGACCCCATATAACTGCACTGATTAATTTATTCGCTCTCAGTTTGTGTTAAGGTGTTTTATTTTACGGTACAAATTGCTCTGGAATTTTAAAGTATATTTATTCAACTTAAAATACGTTATTTTTTTTATTCATTTAAAAATTAATTATGAATATCACTCCGCAATGCTTTTCCGGTCAATTGACCGAAGATATTAATGATTATCTAGAAACTTACGATAGGATATCGGCTGCGAACGACTGGAGTGAGGCGCAAAGGCTAATAAGGTTTCCGCTATATTTAAGAGAACAAGCGAAAAAGTTATATAAAAGAATAGAATCTAAAAGCGCAGATTTAAAATGGGCAGATTTGAAAAAGGAATTTTTAGAGTATTATAATTCAGAGGAGAAACGTATATATTTGAGAGAAAATTTGAATAAGAGAGAAAAACAGGAGGAAGAAAGTTTACAGGAGTATATTCTGAATGTAGTTACCGAATGCAGTCGAGTGAACGATACAATGAGTGAAGAGGAGATTACGAAATTAGTATTGAAAGGATTACCAGAGGATGTTTATTGGAAAATATATACATTAGATAATTCGTCAGTAGAGAAAATAACGAAAAATGTAAAGGCGTATGAAGTTGCTAAGGCGATTCGTAAGAACCCTGCAAAGGAGATCGAGTTTTTGAAAAGAGAGATTGAGGTACTTAAAGTTAGCAAAGATAACGATATTAGTGATGAAGTAAGACGTTTAAGAGAAGAGCTTGAGGAACTTAAAGCTAACATGAATAATAGACCGTTTAAAAGTAATGGTAATTTGAGAAGAAATTTTAATAATTATAGAAATAATGGCAGTAAATTTAATGGTAACGGTGAAGGTAAACATTTTAACAAGCACGATAATAATAATGATTATAGGAATAGAAGTTATCATAATGACGACGCCGCATCCGATAGCAGATATGGACGAAATAGACCTAGGAGTAATTCTGATTATGGTAGAAGTGAGGAAGACGATTTTGATAACCATAGTGAAAACGATTACAACGCGCGTTTTAGGAATAATGATAGACAAGAGAGTAAAAATTATAATACTCCACCCCGAGTAGAAAACATAGGTAGCTGTGTAATTAATAATGCAGATTATAAAGGGAATAATCCAGTAATCATAGGTGTTTTAGATAATGTATCACATCATTTTACTGTTGACTCAGGCGCGACTACTAGCGTTATTAACGAAAATATGCTTCCCAAAAATCATGTAATTAGTTCTTACGGGAAGACAAAATTATATACAGCCAATGGTTCAAAATTAGATTTAGTTGGCAGGTCAACTATTAAAGTATATTTTAATAATATTCCTGTAGAAATACAATGCGCGGTCGTACGAAATTTGAATTGTAATAGTCTTCTTGGAGTTGATTTTCTAATTAAATATAAGGGCGTAGTTAACTTTGTTAAGTCAAAAATACAACTTAACGTGAATAATAAGGAAATACACATCGATTTTTTTAAAAATGATAATAATGGAATTAATATAAATAGGGTTGAAGATAATAACAACAATTGTTATTATATGGCTAATAAGAATGTGAATAATAAAAATAGTAGGATTAGCCTGAATACTAGGATTAATAATGGTAAAAGGAATTTTAAGAATTGTGTGCATAGTAATCATAGCGCTAATAAGAATATTAAGTTGGGTAACTTTAATTGTTATAAATATTATAGACACCCCCGTGGGTTAAATAATAATCATTCTAGGACTGTAATCAATGGGAAAAATAGGACAACCCAAAATTATTATAATGGAACTAGAAATAGGAAGTTTAAATATAACTGTAATAAGTCTACTTTTAATGCTTTTAACGATCAATCTAGAAAGGGTATTAACAATAGACAGAGACCCAATTATACTAGCAGACCATTTATCTCTAACCAGCAATATAACATAGGGGACTTAGACTATAACCTAGGAACCCAAATTATGTCTAAACTTTAATTCCTCTGTTTTCCTCTGTCTCTTGATGGAAATTCCAAGAGGCAGTATAAGGAAAAGGAAAAATAAATTTCTATTTTTCTTTTGTAAAAGTATAATTTTTTGTTTTTTTTTGGGGGAATCATACATATAATTATATTATGCGCGAATATATAAATTATTTACTTCTGTTAGGTAGCGTCTTTAAAAATATAAATATAAATTGTAATTCACATTTCTCACGGTGTGATTACTAGGAATACATCTAGCAAAAAAAAAAACACATATTTCCTTGGAGGCAGACAACTGCCGTTGCAGGTTTTATAATTTCAAACTAACTGCTATCCCGTAATTATAAACGTTCGATTGTAAGGCAATGCCTTTTTCTGTTATTGCGTTGTCAGAAATGAATCATGGACATGTCCGAGTCTTATTTTCTGACAATCCTTGGACACCAATCCCCGACTCGCACTTCATATTATTATTTGAATTTGACACGGTTATAAAATATTATAATACGATTCCTTGACCGTTAGAACAGAAATTTAAAACAACGTATTTAAAAGTGATGATCATGATTTTAACGGAGAACAATAATGTAACATGTACAATCTCAGACGGTACCCGAGACGATATATACACATATACACGCACACACCCGTATGTGCCAGTGATCGCAATGTTTTGCTGACGTTGTAATTTCTAGACCAATTTTTATTGTAATATTAGTTAGAAGGTTTTAATATTATTTTTCATAATATTAAATAAATAAGTGATTTTTTTTTCCCTCAAGACAAAGTAAATTATATTATCAAAATATAAAAGAGTAAATATTATCGGTCTGTGCCGTGCAATTATGCAAACGTGTAAAAATAATTATCTTTATATTTTGCCCCGTAAGTATAAATAAGCAATTAGGATCGGAACGTCATTTATGTATTACTGTAATTTCCAGAAGTAGGTCATTTTATGGTCCATTTTAGTCGCGACCCCTATTTGTGAGCTTAGGATAATATGAACTAGGTCAATTTTTTTTTCCAACTATATTAGAATTTAATATTCACTTACTACTTCTGCCGTATGCCTATTGCTAAGTCATCAATACTACCGAATTATTTGCCGATTTTATTTACATCATCGTTTTTGCCGACGCGTACTAAATAGTACCTATTTGCCGTTTGTTTCATCTTTAGTCACACGTTGCCGCCCGCAGCCAAGGAGGCGATCATATTCGGCCGCACGTTGCCGCTTTTAAGATAATCAATTTGAATTTGATTTTGTATGTTTTTATTTGCCAATTGCCGTTTTTGCCATGGCCATAGATCGCCGCAATTTTAATTTGCCGCATACCTATTGTTGCCGATATT